TTTTTTTGAGACGGAGTCTTGCTCTGTTGCCCAGGCTGGAGTACAGTGGTGCGATCTCGGCTCACTACAACCTCTGCCTCCTGGGTTCAAGTGATTCTCCTGCCTCAGCCTCCTGAGTAGCTGGGATTACAGGCACCTGCCACCATGCCCAGCTAATTTTTGTATTTTACTAGAGACGGGGTTTCATCATGTTGGCCAGGCTGGTCTGGAACTCCTGACCTCAAGTGATCTGCCCATCTCGGCCTCCCACAGTGCTGGGATTACAGGTGTGAGCCACTGCGCCTGGTTTTTTTCTTTTTTTGAGATGAAGTCTCACTCTGTCGCCCAGGCTGGAGTGCAGTGGCACACTGTGGCACGCAATCTCAGCTTTCTGCAACCTCTGCCTCCTGGGTTCATGTGATTCTCTTGCCTCCTGGGTTCGTGCTATTCTCCTGCCTCAGCCTCTCGAATAGCTGCAATTACAGGCATGCACCACCACACGTGGCTAATTTTGTACTTTTGGTAGAGATGGGGTTTTACCATGTTGGCCAGGCTGGTCTTGAACTAACCTCAGGTGATCCACCCGCCTTGGCCTCCCAAAGTGCTGGGATTACTGGCATGAATCACTGCACCCAGCCTGCATTTTCTATTTTATACAGTTCTACATCATTTGAAGTTTTTCTTTTTTTCTCACGAGTTTGTATTTCTCTTTATGATGATACGTAGTTTTTAAAGGATGAGGGAAGGAATGTTTTAAACATATTAAACTAGGGAGATTTCCAAGGGAGAGATGACAATCATGGGTTTTTAGTTTCTGCTTCTGGTTGGGTCAATAAAGCCCCTTCCTTATCCGCCTTTTCTGCTTATCATTAGAGACAGAAACTAAACACCATGGCTTCAGGCTGCTGAAAGCCTAAACCTAAACAGAACAGAACAACAACAACAAAAGGCAGATTGGACAAGTTTGTATTAAACATTCTGACTCCTCCCCTCTCCTCAGCTCCCTCCATGTCAATCCCTTGGTAGAAACACTGTAGGCAGGGCACGGTGGCTCACGCCTGTAATCCCAGGACTTTGGGAGGCTGACATGGGCCGATCACCTAAGGTCGGGAGTTCAAGACCAGCCTGACCAACATGGAGAAACCCCATCTCTACTAACAATACAAAATTAGCCTGGTGTGGTGGCACACACCTGTAGTCCCAGCTACTTGGGAGGCTGAGGCAGGAGAACTGCTTCAACCTGGGAGGCAGAGGTTGCAGTGAGCAGAGATGGCGCCATTGCACGCCAGCCTGGGCAACAAGAGTGAAACAACGTCTCAACCAATCAATGGATGACAGATGCAGGCTTTGCGAGGCACCAAAAAGAACACTCTCCACTGGGGTGTGGGGTCAGTCATCCTGGGAGGGGCTGACATTAGAGGGGCAGAGCTTAAGGGCTTACAGCCACAGCCACATATGCCATCTTCTCCGGTGCGGGCGCATTATGGCATTTCTGCAGCTTCCTCAGGAGCCTCCACAGAATCCAGGTCGTGCTGGGCAGCTCCACCACCAGCGTTCTCCACACCTCAGTCAGGTGCCTGGAAATCCCAAAGAACAAGAGGGTTCAGGAGAATGGCTGATTCCAATGCAATCTAGAAGAGGTTCTCCTCTCTACTCAGCTCTTCAGGGCTGATTTTTATTTCATAACAGTAACTCCCCAGGTTTTTTTTTTTTCCTTCTTGTAAGAT